TTTCACGGGAACCAACCCCCCGATCGGTTCATTTGCACTAGAAACACGCTTGTCATACTTTACGTGAAGGGTCCGTGTACAGATATACTTTACAAAGAGATGTACCCTCAGGATCCTGTCTCATTTCACGGGAACCAACCCCCCGATCGGTTCATTTGCACTAGAAACACGCTTGTCATACTTTACGTGAAGGGTCCGTGTACAGATATACTTTACAAAGAGATAAAACACAAGTGATTGGGTTCAGTACAGGAGCAACTGGATGAAAATCAGACCAGATGAGCCAATGGTTCCTTCTGGCCTTAAAATCTACGAATCTGTGACTACAGGATGACTAGATGTTTCCATAAATGGTCAATCGATAGCTGTAGATTATTATAAACTCCAGCAGGTTAGTGGGTTGACTACAACCATGGCTTATAACCATCTCTAACACCCTGTAGCACCTACTGCTCAAGTCTTGTACTAGTTCATCATTTATTAACGCTCTGTAAACTGTCCACAGATGCACCCTTGCTACGTTAAATTGTGACCCGTATGTCAGTGATCAGAAGAGGCTGATGCTTTCAGATGCCTCCTCCTGTCCCTGCTAGCACCTGTTGGCATTTAAATGCCTATGTTGTGTATTCACAAACCAGGTGCCACTGAAGTCAAGGGGATCTAGTCAAATCCCACAGGTTACGCTGGGAGAATAATTGCACATAATAATTGCACATTGTGGGCCTGATCCAAATCCCACTGAAGTCACTGGGAATCCTCCCCATCCGTCCACGCTCCGAGGAAGGGCCACCCAGGGAAAATTTAACCTGTGCTTAGCAGTGATCTTTCCTTTCAGGCTTGCTTGAATCTACTGGAAGATGCCTCAGCTCCTGGACAGCATCTCCACCATCATCAGCGTCTTCTACAAACATGGGAAGAAAGACGAGGACTGCTCCACCATCAGCAAGAGAGAGGTGAAAAGGTTCATCCAGAGGGAGTTTGACAACATCACAGTGGTGAGCACTGCCAGAAGGGGGAGCCTTTGAGGCCCTGGATGTGGGTTGAGTATAGAACTTGTTGCTTCAGAGACAGGGATGGCAGCTGCAGACGCTTCTTTCTGCTGCGGTACCGACCATGGCAAGCAGTATGGCAGCAGAATGGGACGGCCCTTGTCCATGGGGGCTATGATGGAGGCTGAGCAATGCCAAGTAAAATTAAATTATCTGGGTCATCTTTTCAAAGGGGGGGCAGCTCCCTTTTGCAGGGAAAAATGGCATATGTAAAAATATGCATCTGCATTTGTTTGCTCCTGCAACTGATCTGAGGGTGCAACTCTAGCAACTTGCACCTGTAATTACATAAAGGCAGGTACAAACAAGGGGCAAGAGGGGGAACGAGCGCTGAGTGGCACCGAGAGGCCATTTGTCAGGTGCAAATTTTGCCAGTGCAAGTTGCACCCACAAAAGCTGAAAAAATAAGTTAGAGAGACCATCTGCCATAACTGCCGTAGGACACCCAGGTTCAAATCCCTATTCTACCAGAATCAGAACAGGGACTTGAACTTGAGTCTTCCTGGTCCCAGGAATGAGCCCTAACTTTGGACTCATTGGCTATTCCAGGGTGGGTCACTCTTTCAGGTTTTGAACAGAAATTCCATCCTGGACCCAAGAAACCCTCCAGCAAAAATTTCACCAAAACTTGATACGTTTCGGTTTTGACCTACTAGCATTTTTCCAACCCTCCAAAAAAAAGTTGAAAATTTACCAACCAGCTTTAATGCTCAGCTAAGTGGTATGATTGTCCTTGAACATAGACCATGCAGACCTTCCCCACACAGCGTTGTAAGAAACGTAGTCATACCAATTGGATTATCAGTTCCAATCTCAAATGTCATATATTTCTGTAGCCCTTCTGCCAGTCAGAGTGGGCAGCAAAAAGGGCCGGGTTCAGAATCTAGGGGTTCCTTTTCAACAATACAACACAAACCCACTCAAGCCCCCACCGAGCGAAACATGTATCCTGCGGCTCTTAGTCCGTGAATGATTCAGTCTGGAAGGGAGACATGAATCCACAAGCTGTGGATTCACAAAAAGGCTGAATAGGGGCTATCCAGGGCTGGATGAATACTGAACACAAATACTGAAGGAGGCTGGGGACGCAGGTGCCGACTTTCCAAAGTGCCAGGGTTGCTCAACCCCGAGGCCCCGCCCCCGTTCCATCCCTTCCCCAAGGCCCCACCCCGCCCCGCCTCTTTCCACCCCCCACTCCATCCCCGCCCCGCCTGTTCCCCCCCGCGCACCTCACACGCTCCACCTCTTCCTGCCCCCTCCCACGAGCATGCCGCGTCCTTGCTCCTCTCTCCTCCCCGCAACAGCTGATTGCAGCAGGAGGGAGTCGCTGGGGGGAGGGGGGAGGTTCTGATAGGGGGGCCACCGGTGAGTGCTCAGCTTCCACCGTTTTTCCCCGGTGGGTATTCCAGCACTGGAGCACCCACAGAGTTGGCGTCTATGGCTCGGGGATGGACTATGGGAAGGAGTGTTCCAGGGATGGGAAGGAGTTAAGGAGACAAGCAGAGGAAAGCAGCGGGGTTGAGGTGGGATTCTTCACCAGGGACAGGTGGAGGACAGTAAGCTCCAGGAGAGGATGTGGTGTCTCTCAAAGGGAAGGGAACCAGCCAGCCGGTGAGCTGCCCTGCAGAGAACGACCAGCAGGATGGAGCAGAGAGGACTGGCATGAGGGAGCTGCTGAACAGAAGGGAAAAGTCGTAGGGAGGTGGATGCAGGGAGCGTTGAACCACATCTGCCTTTGCATGTGTAACTGGGAAGGGCCAGCAAGATTAATACAGTTTCCTGTGGGTCTGGTTTTCCTACAGAACCCCTACGATGCTCACACCATAGAGGCAGTATTGCAACTTCTGGATCGTGATGGCGACGGGGCTGTAGATTTCAATGAATTCCTGCTTCTGGTGTTTAGAGTGGCGAAGGTTTGTTACTGGTACCTGCAGCCAAAACAACATCTCCCGCAAAGAACAGAGACGGGACTGAGTGGGGAGCGGCGCCAGGAGCCTGAAGCAGGCAGGGCCGAGGGGAGTCGCGATCAGCCTGAACCACCAGGGACGGAGAAAGGATATTACGAAACACGTGAGTCTGAAACTAGAGAGATTGAACGAAGCCGCCGTCAGCCACGTGAGCCTGAACCGCGCGGGGATCAGGGGGGTCACTATGAAATACGTGAGCCTAAACCTAGAGAGAATAATAGAAGCCGCCATCAACTAGGTGAACCTGAACCACGAGGGGATGAAAGGAGGCGCTATGAAACACGTGAGCCTGAACCTAGGGAGGAAGAGAGACGCCACCCTCAGCCACGTGAGCCTGAGCCACGAGGGAATGAGAGGAGTCACCGTGAGCCATTTGAGCAGTCACGGGAACCTGAGCCACAAGGGGATGAGAGGGCCCGCTATGAAACATATGAGCCTGAAAAAAGAGAGGAAGAGAGACGCCGCCGACAACCACGTGGGCCTAAACAACAACAGGATGAGAGGAGTTGCTACGGAACGCAAAGATCTGAATGTAGAGAGAAAGAGAGAAGCCACCGTCGGTCACGTGAACCTGAACCACAAGGGGATGAGCGGAGCCACTATGAGAGACGTGACCTTGAAACAAGGGAGGTAGACAGGAGACAACGTCACCCACATGAGCATGAACAACGAGAGGATGAGAGGAGCTCCCATCAGCCATATGAGCCTGAGCCACAAAGTCGTGAGAGGAGATGCCTTGAGCATGAAGCACGACAGGATGAGAAAAGTCGCTTCTGGCCCAGAGAATCTGAACCACAAAGGGATGAGAGAAGTCGCTATGACACATGTGAGCCAGAAACTAGGCAGGAAGAGAGGAACAGTCGTCAGCCACGTGAGCCTGAACCAAGAGAGGATGAGAGAAGCCGCCGTCAGCCATGTGAGCCTCAACCTAGAGAGGAACAGTGGAGCTGCCGTCAGCCACGAGAGCCTGAACCAAGAGAGGATGAGAGGAACTGCCGACAGCCACGTGAACCTCAACCGAGAGAGGAGAAGAGGACCCGCCGTCAACCACATGAGCCTGAACCAAGAGAGGATGAGAGGAGCCACCGACAGCCACGTGAGCCCGAACCAAGGGAGGATGAGAGGAACCGCCAAGAGACACTTGAACCTCAACCGAGAGAGGAGAAGAGGAGCCGCCATCAACCACATGAGCCCGAACCAAGGGAGGAGAGGAGCCGCCATCAGCAATACGAGCCAGAACCTAGAGAGGATGAGGGGAGCCGCCGTCAGCCACGTGAACCTCAACTGAGAGAGGAGGAGAGGAGCCGCCGTCAACCACATGAGCCTGAACCAAGAGAGGATGAGAGGAGCCGCCGACAGCCACGTGAGCCCGAACCAAGGGAGGAGAGGAGCCGCCGTCAGCAATATGAGCCAGAACCTAGAGAGGATGAGGGGAGCCGCCGTCAGCCCCGTGAGCCTGAACCAAGAGAGGATGAGAGGAACCGTCGACAGCCACGTGAATCTCAACCAAGAAAAGAGGAGAGGAGCCGCCATCAGCCACGTGAGCCTCAACCAAGAGAGGATGAGAGAAGCCACCTTCAGCCACGTGAGCCTCAACCTAGAGAGGAACAGTGGAGCTGCCGTCAGCCACGAGAGCCTGAACCAAGAGAGGATGAGAGGAACCATCGAAAGCCACATGAACCTCAACCGAGAGAGGAGAAGAGGAGCTGCCGTCAACCACATGAGCCTGAACCAAGAGAGGATGAGAGGAGCCGACGACAGCCACATGAGCCAGAACCAAGGGAGGAGAGGAGCCGCCATCAGCAATATGAGCCAGAACCTAGAGAGGATGAGGGGAGCCGCCGTCAGCCATGTGAACCTCAACTGAGAGAGGAGGAGAGGAGCCGTCTTCAGCCACGTGAACCTCAACCGAGAGAGGAGGAGAGGAGCCACCGACAGCCACGTGAGCCCGAACAAAGGGAGGAGAGGAGCCGCCATCAGAAATATGTGCCTGAACCTAGAGAGGAAGAGAGGAGCCGCTGTCAGGCACGTGAGCCTGAACCAAGAGAGGATGAGAGGAGACGCCGACAGCCACGTGAGCCCGAACCAAGGGAGGATGAGAGGAACCGCCGAGAGACACTTGAACCTCAACCGAGAGAGGAGAAGAGGAGCCGCCATCAACCACATGAGCCTGAACCAAGAGAGGATGAGAGGAGCCGCCAACAGCCACGTGAGCCTGAACCAAGGGAGGAGAGGAGCCACCATCAGCAATATGAGCCAGAACCTAGAGAGGATGAGGGGAGCCGCTGTCAGCCACGTGAGCCTGAACCAAGAGAGGATGAGGTGAACCGCCAACAGCCACATGAACCTCAACCGAGAGAGGAGGAGAGGAGCCGCCGTCAACCACGTGAGCCTGAACCAAGAGAGGATGAGAGGAGCCGCCGACAGCCACATGAGCCCGAACCACGGGAGGAGAGGAGCCGCCGTCAGCAATATGAGCCAGAACCTAGAGAGGATGAGGGGAGCCGCTGTCAGCCACGTGAGCCTGAACCTAGAGAGGATGAGGTGAACGGCCGACAGCCACGTGAACCACAACCAAGAGAGGAAGAGAGGAGCCGCATTCAGCCACGTGAGCCTGAACCAAGAGAAGATGTCAGGAGCTGCCATCAGACCTGTGAGCCTGAACCAAGAGAGGATGAGAGGAGCCGCCAACAGCCACGTAAGCCTGAAAGAAGAGAGGATGAGAGGAGCCGTCAACAGCCACGTGAGCCCGAACCAAGGGAGGAGAGGAGCCGCTGTCAGCAATATGAGCCAGAAACTAAAAAGGAAGAGAGGAGACGCCGACAGCCACGTGAGCCTGAACCAAGAGAGGATGAGAGGAACCGCCGACAGCCACGTGAACATCAACTGAGAGAGGAGGAGAGGAGCCACCGTCAACCACGTGAGCCTGAACCAAGAGAGGATGAGAGGAACCGCCGACAGCCACGTGAGCCCGAACCAAGGGAGGAGAGGAGCCGCCGTCAGCAATATGAGCCAGAACCTAGAGAGGATGAGGGGAGCCGCCATCAGCCACGTGAACCTCAACTGAGAGAGGAGGAGAGGAGCCGCCATCAGCTACGTGAGCCTGAACCAAGAGAGGATGAGAGGAGCCACCGACAGCCACGTGAGCCTGAACCAAGGGAGGAGAGGAGCCACCATCAGCAATATGAGCCAGAACCTAGAGAGGATGAGGGGAGCCACTGTCAGCCACGTGAGCCTGAACCAAGAGAGGATGAGGTGAACCGCCAACAGCCACGTGAACCTCAACCGAGAGAGGAGGAGAGGAGCCGCCGTCAACCACGTGAGCCTGAACCAAGAGAGGATGAGAGGAGCCGCCGACAGCCACATGAGCCCGAACCACGGGAGGAGAGGAGCCGCCGTCAGCAATATGAGCCAGAACCTAGAGAGGATAAGGGGAGCCGCTGTCAGCCACGTGAGCCTGAACCTAGAGAGGATGAGGTGAACGGCCGACAGCCACGTGAACCACAACCAAGAGAGGAAGAGAGGAGCCGCATTCAGCCACGTGAGCCTGAACCAAGAGAAGATGTCAGGAGCTGCCATCAGACCTGTGAGCCTGAACCAAGAGAGGATGAGAGGAGCCGCCGACAGCCACGTAAGCCTGAAAGAAGAGAGGATGAGAGGAGCCGTCAACAGCCACGTGAGCCCGAACCAAGGGAGGAGAGGAGCCGCTGTCAGCAATATGAGCCAGAAACTAGAAAGGAAGAGAGGAGACGCCGACAGCCACGTGAGCCTGAACCAAGAGAGGATGAGAGGAACCGCCGACAGCCACGTGAACCTCAACTGAGAGAGGAGGAGAGGAGCCGCCGTCAACCACGTGAGCCTGAACCAAGAGAGGATGAGAGGAACCGCCGACAGCCACGTGAGCCCGAACCAAGGGAGGAGAGGAGCCGCCGTCAGCAATATGAGCCAGAACCTAGAGAGGATGAGGGGAGCCGCCATCAGCCACGTGAACCTCAACTGAGAGAGGAGGAGAGGAGCTGCCATCAGCTACGTGAGCCTGAGCTTAGAGAGGATGGGAGAAGCCGCCAACAGCCAAGTGAGCCCGAACCAAGGGAGGAGAGAAACCGCCGTCAGCAATATGAGCCAGAACCTAGAGAGGATGAAGGGAGCCGCCGTCAGCCCCGTGATCCTGAACCAAGAGAGGATGAGAGGAACCGTCGACAGCCATGTGAACCTCAACCGAGAGAAGAGGAGAGGAGCCGCCATCAGCTACGTGAGCCTGAACTTAGAGAGGATGAGAGAAGCCGCCAACAGCCACCTGAGCCCGAACCAAGGGAGGAGAGGAGCCGCCTTCAGCCACGTGAGCCTCAACCTAGAAAGGAAGGAAGGAGACGCCATCAGCCACATGAGCCTGAACCAAGAGAGGATGAGAGGAACCGCCAACAGCCACGTGAACCTCTAATGAGAGAGGAGGAGAGGAGCCGCCGTCAACCACATGAGCCTGAACCAAGAGAGGATGAGCGGAGCCGCCGACAGCCATGTGAGCCTGAACCAAGAGAGGATGAGGGGAGCCGCCGACAGCCACGTGAACCTCAAATGAGAGAGGAGGAGAGGAGCCGCCGTCAACCACATGAGCCTGAACCAAGAGAGGATGAGAGGAGACGCCGACAGCCACGTGAGCCTGAACCAAGAGAGGATGAGAGGAGACGCCGACAGCCACGTGAGCCCGAACCAAGGGAGGAGAGGAGCCGCCGTCAGCAATATGAGCCAGAACCTAGAGAGGATGAGGGGAGCCGCCATCAGCCACGTGAACCTCAACTGAGAGAGGAGGAGAGGAGCCGCCGTCAACCACATGAGTCTGAACCAAGAGAGGATGAGAGGAGACGCCGACAGCCACGTGAGCCCGAACCAAGGGAGGAGAGGAGCCGCCATCAGCAATATGAGCCAGAACCTAGAGAGGATGAGGGGAGCCGCCATCAGCCACGTGAACCTCAACTGAGAGAGGAGGAGAGGAGCCGCCATCAGTTACGTGAGCCTGAGCTTAGAGAGGATGGGAGAAGCCGCCAACAGCCAACAGAGCCCGAACCAAGGGAGGAGAGGAGCCACCGTAAGCAATATGAGCCAGAACCTAGAGAGGATGAGGGGAGCTGCCATCAGCCACGTGAACCGCAACTGAGAGACGAGGAGAGGAGCCGCCGTCAACCACATGAGCCTGAACCAAGAGAGGATGAGAGGAACCGCCGACAGCCACGTGAGCCCGAACCAAGGGAGGGAGGAGGAGAGGAGCCGCCATCAGCAATATGAGCCAGAACCTAGAGAGGATGAGGGGAGCCGCCGTCAGCCACGTGAACCTCAACTGAGAAGAGGAGGGGAGGAGAGGGGGGGGAGTCGCCGTCAACCACATGAGCCTGAACCAAGAGAGGATGAGAGGAGCCGCCGACAGCCACGTGAGCCCGAACCAAGGGAGGAGAGGAGCCGCCATCAGCAATATGAGCCAGAACCTAGAGAGGATGAGGGGAGCCGCCATCAGCCACGTGAACCTCTACTGAGAGAGGAGGAGAGGAGCCGCCATCAGTTACGTGAGCCTGAACCAAGAGAGGATGGGAGAAGCCGCCAACAGCCAAGTGAGCCCGAACCAAGGGAGGAGAGGAGCCGCCGTCAGCAATATGAGCCAGAACCTAGAGAGGATGAGGGGAGCTGCCATCAGCCACGTGAACCTCAACTGAGAGACGAGGAGAGGAGCCGCCGTCAACCACATGAGCCTGAACCAAGAGAGGATGAGAGGAGCCGACGACAGCCACGTGAGCCCGAACCAAGGGAGGAGAGGAGCCGCCGTCAGCAATATGAGCCAGAACCTAGAGAGGATGAGGGGAGCCGCCATCAGCCACGTGAACCTCAACTGAGAGAGGAGGAGAGGAGCCGCCGTCAACCACATGAGCCTGAACCAAGAGAGGATGAGAGGAGACGCCGACAGCCACATGAGCCCGAACCAAGAGAGGATGAGAGGAACCGCCGACAGCCACGTGAGCCCGAACCAAGGGAGGAGAGGAGCCGCCATCAGCAATATGAGCCAGAACCTAGAGAGGATGAGGGGAGCCGCCATCAGCCACGTGAACCTCAACTGAGAGAGGAGGAGAGGAGCCGCCATCAGTTACATGAGCCTGAGCTTAGAGAGGATGGGAGAAGCCGCCAACAGCCAACTGAGCCCGAACCAAGGGAGGAGAGGAGCCGCCGTAAGCAATATGAGCCAGAACCTAGAGAGGATGAGGGGAGCTGCCATCAGCCACGTGAACCGCAACTGAGAGACGAGGAGAGGAGCCGCCGTCAACCACATGAGCCTGAACCAAGAGAGGATGAGAGGAGCCGCCGACAGCCACGTGAGCCCGAACCAAGGGAGGAGAGGAGCCGCCATCAGCAATATGAGCCAGAACCTAGAGAGGATGAGGGGAGCCGCCATCAGCCACGTGAACCTCAACTGAGAGAGGAGGAGAGGAGTCGCCGTCAACCACATGAGCCTGAACCAAGAGAGGATGAGGGGCCGCGCGGGACATGAGCCGAACCAAGAGGGGAGAGGAGCCGCCGACAGCCATGTGAGCCTGAACCAAGAGAGGATGAGGGGAGCCGCCGACAGCCACATGGCTGAACCTAAAAATGAGAGAGGAGGAGAGGAGCCGCCATCAACCACATGAGCCTGAACCAAGAGAGGATGAGAGGAGACGCCGCGACAGCCACGTGAGCCCGAACCAAGAGAGGATGAGAGGAGGACAGCCAGGAAAGGGGGGGAGAGGACGCCACATGAGCCCGAACCAAGGGAGGAGAGGAGCCGCCGTCAGCAATATGAGCCAGAACCTAGAGAGGATGAGGGGAGCTGCCATCAGCCACGTGAACCTCAACTGAGAGACGAGGAGAGGAGCCGCCGTCAACCACATGAGCCTGAACCAAGAGAGGATGAGAGGAGCCGACGACAGCCACGTGAGCCCGAACCAAGGGAGGAGAGGAGCCGCCGTCAGCAATATGAGCCATTACCTAGAGAGGATGAGGGGAGCCGCCATCAGCCACGTGAACCTCAACTGAGAGAGGAGGAGAGGAGCCGCCGTCAACCACATGAGCCTGAACCAAGAGAGGATGAGGGGAGACGCCGACAGCCACATGAGCCCGAACCAAGGGAGGATGAGAGGAACCGCCGACAGCCACGTGAGCCCGAACCAAGGGAGGAGAGGAGCCGCCATCAGCAATATGAGCCAGAACCTAGAGAGGATGAGGGGAGCCGCCATCAGCCACGTGAACCTCAACTGAGAGAGGAGGAGAGGAGCCGCCATCAGTTACGTGAGCCTGAGCTTAGAGAGGATGGGAGAAGCCGCCAACAGCCAAGTGAGCCCGAACCAAGGGAGGAGAGGAGCCGCCGTAAGCAATATGAGCCAGAACCTAGAGAGGATGAGGGGAGCTGCCATCAGCCACGTGAACCGCAACTGAGAGACGAGGAGAGGAGCCGCCGTCAACCACATGAGCCTGAACCAAGAGAGGATGAGAGGAGCCGCCGACAGCCACGTGAGCCCGAACCAAGGGAGGAGAGGAGCCGCCATCAGCAATATGAGCCAGAACCTAGAGAGGATGAGGGGAGCCGCCGTCAGCCACGTGAACCTCAACTGAGAGAGGAGGAGAGGAGTCGCCGTCAACCACATGAGCCTGAACCAAGAGAGGATGAGAGGAGCCGCCGACAGCCACGTGAGCCCGAACCAAGGGAGGAGAGGAGCCGCCATCAGCAATATGAGCCAGAACCTAGAGAGGATGAGGGGAGCCGCCATCAGCCACGTGAACCTCAACTGAGAGAGGAGGAGAGGAGTCGCCGTCAACCACATGAGCCTGAACCAAGAGAGGATGAGGGGAGCCGCCGACAGCCATGTGAGCCTGAACCAAGAGAGGATGAGGGGAGCCGCCGACAGCCACGTGAACCTCAAATGAGAGAGGAGGAGAGGAGCCGCCGTCAACCACATGAGCCTGAACCAAGAGAGGATGAGAGGAGACGCCGACAGCCACGTGAGCCCGAACCAAGAGAGGATGAGAGGAACCGCCGACAGCCACGTGAGCCCGAACCAAGGGAGGAGAGGAGCCGCCATCAGCAATATGAGCCAGAACCTAGAGAGGATGAGGGGAGCCGCCGTCAGCCACGTGAACCTCAACTGAGAGAGGAGGAGAGGAGCCGCCGTCAACCACATGAGCCTGAACCAAGAGAGGATGAGAGGAGCCGCCGACAGCCACGTGAGCCCGAACCAAGGGAGGAGAGGAGCCGCCATCAGCAATATGAGCCAGAACCTAGAGAGGATGAGGGGAGCCGCCGTCAGCCACGTGAACCTCAACTGAGAGAGGAGGAGAGGAGCCGCCGTCAACCACATGAGCCTGAACCAAGAGAGGATGAGAGGAGCCGCCGACAGCCACGTGAGCCCGAACCAAGGGAGGAGAGGAGCCGCCGTCAGCAATATGAGCCAAAACCTAGAGAGGAAGAGAGGAGGCGCCGTCAGCCACATGAGCCTGAACCAAGAGAAGATGTGAGGAGCTGCCATCAGACCTGTGAACCTGAACCAAGGGAGGGTGAGAGCAGCCGCCGACAGCCACGTGAGCCTGAACCAAGGGAGGAGTGGAGCCACTGTCAGCAATATGAGCCTGAACCTAGAGAGGAAGAGAGGAGGCGCCGTCAGCCACATGAGCCTGAACCAAGAGAGGATGGGAGGAGCCGCCGTCAACCACATGAGCCTGAACCAAGAGTGGAAGAGAGGAGCCGCCATCAGCCACAAGAGCCTGAATCCAGAGAAGATGAGGGAAGCTGTTGTCACCCACGTAAGCCTGAACCTAGAGAGAATGAGGGAAGCCACCTTCAGCCACGTGAGCCTGAATCACGAGAGGATGAGAGGAGCCTCCATCAACCACGTGAGCCTGAATCTAGAGAGGATGAGGGGAGCCGCCATCAGCCACATGAGCCTGAACCTAGAGAAGGTGAGAGGAGCCGCCATCAGCCACTTGAGCCTGAACGTAGAGAAGGAGAGAGGTGCAGTATTCAGCCACAGACACCTGAGCCACCACATGAGGAGGGGTATTTGCCTCCATCTAGTGAGCCTGAAGCCCGGGAGGATCTGGGGACCCTGCATGAGCCGAATGATCCTGAATCAACCGATGATTACAGGAAATGCCATGCAACACATGAGCCTCCACCCACTGGAGATGAGGGAAGCCAGCTTCAGCCCAGGGAGAGTGCACTGCCAGGGGATGAGGGCAGCCCCCAGAAGAGAAGTGAATCTGAATCTAGGGACGATGACGGCAGCCAGCCTCAGCTCTGTGAACCAGAACACAGGGAGGGTGATGGGGTCCTCAGGCACACACCAGAGTCTCAGCCGCTAGAAGAGGCGGGGAGCCAGGAACAGCCACATGACCTGGAACCACGAACGGAAGGGAACCGCCATCAGCTGCCACAAGGGGGAGAAGCGAGCCATGTCCAACGAGACACTGAACCTCACCAGGGCAATGGGAGCCACCACCAGCCGAGGGAGCCTCAAGAAGAGAGTGAGAGGAGCAGCCATCAGGCCAGGGAGCCTCTGCCACAGCTGGGAGAGGAGCCCCAAGAAGGTGAATGGAGCCAGAGCCATCCTGAGCCTGCAATCGCAGAGAAGGAGCCGGGTGAGACAGATCCAGATGAAGCCAAGGCCTCACTGCCTTGCAATCCGCTCTATGTCTATCTGCTGGAGCAGACGGTGGAGAAGCAGCTTTACCTAGCACCGCCGTGCCAGAAACGGCCATAGTGTGGAATATGTGGTGGTGCCCACTTTCTCCGGGGGAACGTGTGGGCTTCTGTCCATCCGCCTTTCCTGTGAAGCTTCCAACACCTCGTCCCTAACCTCTTTCTTCTCATCTTTTCAGGATTCCTTATAAGCTTGGGTGCATGTGAGCATGTTAGCAAGTACTGGCACAGATGTGTCCAACACAAGGGGCTAGCGGGTGCTTTGCCCTTGGGTGAAGTCCCCGATTGGTTTCACAAAGGTCTTGGGCTTCACAGGCTAAGGAACAAAAGTGAGTGAGCTTGATGCCTCCATGACTAGAATAAAGGGTATTCCAGGCTCTATCTAGCCACCTTTCTAATGTATCTACTCTAGCATATCTACCTAACCACCGTCTCTAGGTGTCCATTATATGTATCTCTCTCTCAACAAACACACCCGTCATCTGTCCATCCATCCATCCATTCATCCATCCATCCATCCATCAGTTGTGTCTAAATCATATCTACCTAACCACCGTCTCTAGGTGTCCATTATATGTATCTCTCTCTCAACAAACACACCCGTCATCTGTCCATCCATCCATCCATCCATCCATCCATCCATCAGTTGCGTCTAAATCATATCTACCTCCCTCTGTGGTCTAAGTGTTTATTGGATCTATTGGGTCTTTTTGTCTATCTGTCAGTGTGCTTATGCTGCTCTCATCGCTGTGGTCCTGTGTCTGACTATCCTGTTTGTTAACTGCTGTCATGCAACACAAAAACCTGTATGTATCTTTCCATCTAACTTGCTGGGTCCTGTAGGAGATTGGAGACCGTTTTGGTTGGGAAAATGCAGGTTGAAATGCAAGTCTCGGAAGACCACCATTCTGGAAGCATTTAGTGACAGCCCTGCACAAGCACTGGCTGAGCAAAATCCCAGCTTTGCTCTCCCACAAGCCTTGACGCAGATGAGTAGCACTGGGGTATCTAGAGGGGTCTCTTGTTCACACTGTTGTATTGCATGAAAAGTCACAATAAATGACAACTGAGTTCACTGGCTTTGTCTGTCAACCTTGTTTCTTGTTGCCCCAAAGGACAACACACAGTGGAAGGTTTTGTCACCGCATCGAAGCTCACAAGTATCATTTAAGACCAGCCCTCCTTTAATTTTTAATTAGCTCCCCCAGAGAACAGCCAATGACATGGTCCATGGACCACCCCGATGGAGTCTACTCTTTTATTAAGACTTGGGGTAAAACTTTCAAAGGCACCTAAGGGCTAAGGTGTGCAGGTACCGGAAGATGAACGATACAGACAGGTGCCTAGGGTAAGTTTCAAAAGCTCCTAACTCCCATTGAAATCAATGGGAGTTAGGCACCTACGTACTTTTGAAAATCCCAGTAGGTGCCTATCTGTATCTTCAGGCAGCTATGTTCCTTGGAAAACCTGGCCCTAAGTGACTTAGGAACCTAAGACCAAAGAGACAAACTGGGCCACATTTGTCAGCACAATGATACTGCAGCAGGAGCGGAAAGAGGGCATTGCAATTAGAGCATGTGATGCAGGGGCCCTGTAGGGGGAAGCAGGCAGCTAATCCCCCCTCCCCCAGGTTCGGGGGGGTAGGAGAACAGAGCAGCAGGGTGATGGGCCAGCCAGGTACCCCGTGGCGGGGTTCTCAAGCCCTTTGCCATCATGCCCCCACTTTTAACAAAGCAAAAGAGCTCAGCCCTGCCCCTCCTCCCCTGTGCTTGAGCTGACATTCATAGGGATCAGCTGTTTGTGATACATTCGAGTGTGAGATG